TAATTACTCCAATCAAAGTATGACTTCAGCTGGTTTCTGCAAAGCTGACAGTCGATACCCTCCCAGCTTCTTCCCAATGACCCTGGCAATCACCATGGTGCTCACAGTGCTTGGCTAATATTTTGAAGGGCTCTTGCCTGTTACATTGGCTCAAGGTCCCAGATGATGTTCTCATGGCTCCTATATTTTCCTTTCAAAGCCCTTATGGCAATAGAAATGCCATATTATTATTTGTATCATTATTTGTTTAATCGCTGCATACTCACTGGGCTGTTATTAATGCGCCTGATAGCTGCTTTTTGCCGGAATATCTATGTTCCTTCTGCCCTGTTTCCCACTGCTGCTGTAACAGAAACACCGCCAGTGGTGGCTTCAAAGACCAGACATCTATTTCCTCCCAATTGTGGAGGTTTAAAGTCCAAAGCAAGGTCTTGGCTCTGTAGATTCCTTCCTTGTTGGGAGCCCCAGGTGTTCCTTGGCTTGTAGACAACCCTCACATGTTGTCTGTCTTTCCCTGTATGTGTGTCTCTGTACCCATTTTTTTTTTCTTCTTCAGTAACTCACAAGTGACTAGATTTAGGATCCACCTAACATTGGCATGACCTCAAATGATTGATTACATCACATCATATCACGTTATATTACAGGTAGTCCCTGAGTTATGACATATTGAATGACAAAGACGTGGTAAAAACCCATGTGAAATTGTTCACTGCAGATTAGTTAGTAAATAAGCACAAGTAAGCCCATTCTTATCTTGCTTATTAGATACTGTGCCCTGCCTTCAGAGTGGGGGAGACCCCTGTTCCACTTAGAAAAGGCAGGAGCAAGGGTAAATTGTAGCACCGAGGCAAAGCTACTAAGTAGCTGAAGCTGTCATTGGCCCTTTGTTCAGATTTAAGCTCTTTCCCCTTGCTCTTCCCTTCCAGCTCCTGATCCTGCATGCTCCCTCAAGAGCAGCTCTCCTGAGCATAATGTTTTCATGGTGACACTTCTGCCTGTCTCTTCCTCTTAACCAAGATGGTAAGGACCCAGGGCCATCCCAGACCCTGCTCTCCTTGGTCATCTCTCACTGCCTCTGCCCACCTCCTCCACTTCCCTGGAGTTTCTGCCTGCCCCTCACACACACATATGCACAACACTCACTACCATTTTCAGTATCTTGGTCTCACCAAGCCTAGGCTCTATGGGCCTCCCAATTGGTCCCCAACACACTAATTCATACTCATAGAGAAAATAGAGTATTCAAGGTTAAGCACAGGGGCTTTGCAACCAGGATGACCTGAATTGGAGTTTCAGTTTGTACACACTTTGTGTGACTGGGCAACTTAACACCTTGGAAGCTCCTTCTTCTTTGTGAAATGGGGTGATCAGGTCCCATCTCACAGTGCAGGCAGGATGATGGAAGGAGGTAACACCTACACAGCACGGCCTGGTATACAGTCAGCGAGAGACGCATGGAAGTGACTACTGATGCTCTGTGCTAATGGGAATAGTTTAGACAAACAATTCCCTCCCACACACCCCTGCCTACTCCAATCTTCTCTACCCAGTAAAATAACTTGCCTCCTGGAGGCATTGCCTCTAGTTCGATGTCTAGCATCCCAACATAGGGCTTCTGTTTGTGGAACTCGAGCCTAGGGAGCATTTTGGTGAATTAGCAAGAGGTCTAGACTCTGATTCTCACTCTGCTGCTGTCAATATATCGGGCCATTTGGGGCCATCCATTGCCCCACAAGAGCCATCAATTTCTTCTTCTTTGAAAGGAAGAGTTGGGATAAGAGGAGCTTTTAGGTTCCTTGTAGTGCTGCTAGGTACTCATTCTGATTCTATATGAGGGTTCTCCCTTGAGTGAATTCTTTTATCTATACTTCAGACTCTTGGCTGACACATGCATTTTCTGAGACACTGTTGTGTAGCTTTATCTTGGTGCCTCACATTTTTCACCTGCAACGTGGTGGTTGAAAAAGGTTCTGGAATTGTCATCTAGGTTGGGACTTCAGCACAGCCACTGGACTTTGCCCCCATCTGTCTGTCAGTTTTGTTCTCTGGTGGCTCCTGTGTTGCTGTGGTGTGGGAAGATATGTCATCTGTATTTCAAATCCCAGCAGACTAAGAAAAAAAGACCTGGTGATATACTTCTGAGAATCAGCCGATGGAAACCTGAGGGATCACCACAGAACACTGTCTACCTCACTTGCTTTGGACATGTCATCAACAGGGACCAGTCGCTGGAAGAAGATAATCATGTTTGGTGAAACAGAGGGCCAATGACAGTATGGGAGACCCTCGGAGAGATGGGTGGGCACAGTAACCACACCATGGACTTTAACATGTTGACAATTGGGAGGAAGACACAGGACCAGGCAACATTTTGTCCAGGCACCATGAGTCAGAGTCAACTAAATGGCAGCTTCCAACAGCAGCAACAACTGATCTTTGAGCCAGTTATTTAACTTCTCTGAACCTCAGTCATCTCATCTGTTGAATGGGGAGAGACAGGATAGATATGAACATGAAAAGAAACAGAGCACTTAGAAAACATAACCTCAAATGTTGTACTTTTATTGTCCTGTAAGACATGGCAACAATTTTGTCTCTAACTCAGCAAACTTATTTCAGAATGTGTTTCCTCATGGTCTGTAAACCTGCTTCCTCAAAATGCTCTTGGACCCGCCCCACTCTCTTTCCAGTTCTCTCATTAATCAGTGCTGGATAAGATCCCTGACATGTGTTTCATTCTGTATCTGTATGAGAGTCATGGTTTAAACTTTTTGGAAATTATTCTTTGACAAGTCCTAACTCAGCCTTAAGACTCGTTCCTGAAGAGATTGCCATTGGTAAAGCTTGCTCTGTTAGAAATGCTGGTTAAGTTGCTTAAATAAATAAGAAAAAATATATTGGATTGGCATTTTTGTATCTGCCCCCTTCTTTCCCACCTCAGTGCACCAGAGCCAGGGCCTACGGGGGTGAGGGTGGGAAGGATCTGGAAAAAGACAAAAGCAAGCAAGATGAGCCAGCAGAGGAGACGCCCATTGTGGCCTTTACGTTTATGACTAGCAAGATAATGAAGGAAGGTAATTTTGAAAGCTTTATGTTGCTTTAACGGTCCCTCAAGCCCTGAGAAAGAGAATAGTCAGTGCATGGTGTCCATAAGGATTTTTTCCCTTCTCCCCTGACAGCCACTGACAGGATCATTTTGTATTAGCAACTGTCGCCACTGAAGCATGAAGAAAAGGTCCTGTAAGGCCAGCTGGATGAGGGCGACTTCCCTACAAGATCTCTATTGCCATCACTATGGCAATAAGACTCACTCTAACCGTTTTTCTGCTTTTCTAGCGAGTGTCTACTTGGTGGAGCTTAAGGCTATGAGATGTGGGTCACATAAAATCACCCCAGTGTGAAATCATGCATTGCTATCTTGCAGGAGTCTTTTATAATGCTGCAAAGACAACCTTTGTGTGACAAGATAGAAATAAATAGCAATGCAGGTCACTTGGATGCTAAAAGCTTTTCATCACATAACAACAACAACAATAGTTTTTCATAGGGTTGCTATGAATTGGAATAAACTCAATGGCAGTGGGTGGGTTAATAGCTTTCCAAGGAGCCCCGGTGGTCTAGTGGTTAAGCACTTGGCTGCTAACCCAAAGGTCAGTGATTTGAACCCCAGTTCTGAGGGAGAAAGACGTGGCAGTCTGCTTCTGTAAAGATTACAGTCTTGGAAACCACAGGAGGCAGTTCTACTCTGTCCTTTGGGTCACTGGGGGTCAGAATGCACTGGAGGGTGATCTGTTGGGGTGTGGGATAGCTTTTCAGAGGCTCAAAGCTGGTGCGAATGACAGGTACATTTCCATCTCTTTCTGGATTGTCACTGCCTGCTCTTCCCTTCAAGGACAGGGCTTAACATTTCAGTGGGGAAAATGATGTCACTGAAAATCAGCTCTCAGTGCCTGGTACTAACCCAACCCAACCCAATACCATGCAGTCAATTCCCACTCCTAGGGACTTTATAGGACAGTGCAAAACTGCCCCCACAGGATTTCCAAGGTTGGGCAATCTACTTCCGTAGTGATACTGCCTCAGCAACCCAAGGAGGGGTTCGCTATGAGTAGGGCCGACTCGACGGCACATAACAACAGTCTTTAGGGAAGCAGACTGTCTCATCTTTCTCCCACAGAGTAGACCTTTCGGTTCGCAGCGAGCACTCTTACCAATGCGCCCCCAAGGCTCCTTAGTAGTGGGCTCTGTCTGACTCATAGCCACCCCCTTTGGGTTTCCAGGGCAGTAAGTCTTTACTTAAGTAGATTGCCCAGTCGTCCTTCTGCGGAGTGGCTGGTGGGTTTGAACCGCCGGCCTTCTGGTGAGCAGTCAAGGGCCTTAGCCACTATGCTACCAGAGCTCCTGGTAGTCTCTTTATTTTCCACAATTAAGTCGTAAGGACAGGAACCCCGCCTCGCATTACATGTATGCACCTCCTCGGCTCCTAATCTCTCTGCAGAGTGGATTTACAGTCCGCGTGGTGGGCTTTCCCACGGGCAGATCAGAGGCATTGCATCTGCCCAAGGAAAACCCCTTGTGGAGGCGGCGGCCCAGGATTTGGGGTGGCTGTAACGCCTCTAACCCACCAGCCACTCCTCGGAAGGAAGGTTGGGCATTCCTGCTTCCGTAGTAATACTGCCTCGGAAACCCAAGGATGGGTCGCTATGAGTCCGGGCCGACTCGATGGCAAATAACAACAACAACGACGTAACGCTTCTGGAGAGGCCTCGAGACGGGGAAAAAAACGACAGGGGAGGGAAAGAATAGGGGCGTGGAGAAAAGGGTGCAAAAAGACGGAAAACCAGCGACTGAACCGATCGAAGATTGAAAAACAGCAGCACACAGCGAGCAAGGCGCACACGAACAAGAGGACGCGCCGAGGGCGGGAACTACAGTCCCCAGAACCCTTGGCGCGCCGCCTCCCGGCGTCCGTCTCCTAGGCAACCCCAGTAAACAAGATGGCAGCCTCCGGGAGCAGTTCCCTATGGCCCCTGCCGTCCAATCTCCCGAGAGGCTTGAGCACGCCATCACCTGAGGCGCAGTCGATCTCGCTGCACTCCGTCAATGAGCGTCAGGGTTTCTCGGCTACTTTCCCCACGGGGCAGAGGTCGAAAGATGCTTTCCACAAAACCTCCTCCTTCCTGCTTCGGCAGCTCATTCACCGCTATCGGGGTCTGGACGCAGAAGTGTGGGACGAGGACAGAGACGAGTTCGTGGTCGAGGCCCAGGACAGGAAACAGGCCGACGTGGAGTCCGAGGAGTCCTCAGAGTCCGAAATGCTGAATTTGGAGGTGTGCCGTCCCCTTCCCCACACCCTCGCCGTCTCCTGCAACCCCTAGGCCTGCTCCTGACTTCAGCACTGCTTCCCAGCGCTCGCCTCCAGGAGTCTCCCCGAGGGCTCGGAGGCGCCCCCTCGTTTTGCTTCGTGTTTTTGTACCTCGTTTCCTCCTCCCCTGCCTGAAATATCGCCAACTATCTTCCTTTTTCATTAGCGTGTTTGGTTGCTTATGCCACACTCAGCGTCGTTAAGAAAAAGTATCAGTTTATTTATCTGCGTCTTTTTAGGTTTTTAAAATTATGCCTTCGGCGTCCCAAGCATCTCTCTCCCTAGAGTTTGAACTACACCAACCCTCTCCCACTCTACCCCTTAATTTTTCATCCTCCAACCCCCAAAATCCTATAGCACAGAGCAGAACGCACCATGGGGTTTCCAAGGCGAGCGTAGGCGCGCTGGAGGCGCAGTGGTTAAGTGCTCCGCTGCTAACCGAGAATCCGCCAGCCGCTTGGCGGGAGAAAGATGCAACAGTCTGCTTCGGTAGGGGCGTACAACCTTACAAACCCTGTGGGGCAATTCCGTTCTGCACTGTGGGGTCACTCCGAGTCTGAATCAACTCCATGTCAGTGGGTTTAGTTTTCTGGTTTAAACTCTTTACGTGAGCAGACTGCCACATGTTGGTGGCTTCGTACCGCCCACCTTTCCAGTTAGCAGCCCAGTGCTTAACCACTGAGCCACCACGGCACCTTCCTTCCCTCCAAACCCCTCAAACCCACGGCCCTCCAGTCGATTCCGACTCACAGTGAACCTGTAGGACAGAGTAGAACTCTTCGTAGGGTTTCCAAGGCTGCAATCTTTGTGGAAGCAGACTACCACATCTTTCTTCTTCAGAGTGGCTGGTGGGTTTGAACCACGGACCTTTTGGTTAGCAGCTCAGAGCTTTAACCACTGCACCACCAATGCTTGCTTACCTTGGGTGGGGGAATTATCCTCTTGAATAATGCAATGAATGGTTTATCAAAGACTAAGTGATTTAAGTTTTAACATGTTACTTCCTTCCACCAGGAGTATTTGCATTATACAAGCAACACACACTCCCAGGACAGAGCTAAGGAACGTCCAGTCAACCCTCTGGGAGTGTTTTAGGACGTGGGGACCGTTTCCAACATTCCCATCCCTGTTGCCCAGATGGTGGCCTTGTCTTTCTTTCACATCCTTACAAATTCCCTCTTTTCTACCATACCTCTTCCAACCATCACTCAATCCCACTTCATTTTTTACGCTTAGTGTCATCCCCTTCCTTTCTTAGCCTGTTGCCTGTCCTCTTCTCCCTTTACCCATTGCTTTCTTTTGGCTCCTAATAAATACATTGTTTGCTTTTTTCAATAAACATGAACTAATTTGCTTCCTTTCCATAAACTGTTAGGTTTCCCTCTTTGACTTGGCTGCTAGGAAACTCAGCACCAAGCATTTTTCTTAATTTCTGCATTTTCTTTGGTTTAGGTTTCCCTCTCCCCTCTCTTCCTCTGTCATAGTATAGTTTGCTTCAAATTCTTTTCAGAAGTCGTTGTAGTCCCAAGAATGTGGCTTTGCCAGCATCCTCACTCCGTGACACCTTCTGTCTTCCTCTCTGCATCCTGAGCATTTCCTTCCCTAGCTGGCTCTCCTCCTTGAGGCCTGCTCTGTTTCTGGTACAGCTGCGGCTGTTCACAGACCCCGTCCCTTTTCCTCAGTCGTCTTGTTTCTCCTCCTAGCTCTTCCACGGCCATGTCTTCTGTCGTCCACCACTCCGATTCTACCCTTAGCCGTTTAATCTCCTCCCTGCCCAGGTTGCCCTTGGTTCACTGTCAACATCGGACCTGTTTTTTTCCCTACCCTCAGCCCCCATTTTTTCCTTTCCTCTTCTACCTCCTTCTGCATGGTTTTGCTTAAGGTTGACTATAGAAATTATTATCTGTTTTGTCTGTCTTTTGTTGATTAACTTTGCTACCTCTAATAGTGATGATTACAAAACTGTAGCAGTGTTTTTGCAACTTCGAGATGTTTGTGTGGTTTCCACTAGCTTCCAACCCAGAGGAATTCACAAATGTTCACCAGTTTACTTTATTATTCTAATTAACGCATGCTCCTCATCTGTGGGGTTCATTAGTACCGTTGTTAATCTGTCTTCAGTATGCCATTAGCAAACCATAGAAGGGGTTAATTTGAACCAGTTATATATTTCTTTATGGTGGGTAGGATGCATGTAGGAAAACATCTTGAGTTCTTCAGTTGAAGTTCTAAATATTAGTATTTATTTTTTTCTCACGTTCTACTTTGACTATTTTTTTTTTAATAGCGATACATACATGTAATACCAAAAACAAAACCAAACAAAAAAAAATCACTGCCATCGAGTGGGGCAGTTCCTTTCTGCCTTGTAGGGTTCCTATGAGTCTGAATCAACTCCATGGCAGTGGGTTTAGTTTTCTGGTTTAAAATCTTTATGGGAGCAGACTGCCACATCTCATAGTGACCCCTCCTTGGGTTTCAAAGGCGGTATCTCTACACAAGTAGATTGTCCAATCTTACTTCTGGGCATGCTGAATAAACTAAAAAAAGAAGTTTTAAAAGGAAACATTTGCCCTCTCATGTTCAATCATTGATTTTCCGTATATTCTGTGGGTTAAGACTTGTCATGCTATGGGAACAATGCTTAGTGATGCTATAATGCACTCAGCCTCAAGTCTCAGAAGCCTTTAGGAATGGAGGGAGGCAGTGCAGACCAGCTGTGAAGAGCATCAACTATGGAATCAGATTTGTGTTGGAGGCTTGGGTTACCCTCTTATTGGTTGTGAGGTCTTGAGTAAGTCACAAAGCCTCTCAGAGCCTCGTCTGTAATATGGGAATTACAGTAAGACGATCTCATAGGGGAGTTGTGAGAATTAAATGAGATGCTAGATCTAAAGTACTTAGCATAGCATTCTGTACTGTTACTAATAAAAAGAATGAGAATTTACACATGGATAGGGTTGCTCTGATTCAGACCATCTCACTAGCACTGGGTTTGGTTTTTGGTTTATCCACTAACTAGAGCACTGTTATGTAGTTTCATTAATTTAGCGTTCATTGAACAAACATTCCTGGAGTACTTGCTCCTTGGGAAGGACTCTCTAGTACACAGTGCAGAAGTGTCTGGGTCCAAAGGCTGTTGTGTCAAGATCACTCTTGGCCAGCAACTTAATGTGAGCAATACTGCCTACACAGGGGAGAGCTGTGAGCATCAACTTTCATGAGAAGCTGACTCCATGTTAAAGTAGTATGTATTGTGTCGGATACACAGCAGGCTCTCAGAAAGTACAGATGTCATAAATGATAGCGATAATAATGATGAAAGAAGATGCTAGCATGATTGAGGACATGCATAGTCCCCGCTCCAAGGTGAGATACGTGTGTGCAAGTCAGTGCAATTGGGCATCTGAAGGATTAGACAGAGATGGGTACAAGTGACAGCAGGGTCACAGGGATGGTGGAAGACTTTACAGAGGAGTGGACTCCCTTCTTCTGGGTGGAGGGTGGAGTGGCACGTGGGCAGGTAAACAGCTGCTTTTCCTACTGATGAGTTATAGGTGAGAGCAGAAGTCAAGCTTGGGGCTGGATTGTGGAGAGCTCTCTGTTGTTGTACAGACTGTGAACTTGAATCCCTAAGCAATGGGGAATTGGTGATGTGTGGGATGTGATTAGAGGATAGTAAGGCTGGAGACAGACCAGTGAGGAGACTCTAGCAATGTCTGAGAGGGAGAGATTAGTCAGAATCAGGCAGTGGCAGTGGGAATGGGAAGGAAGTTAGGGATAAAAAATACATTAGAATATTTAAGGCAGGACAGTTCCTAGTTGAATATTAGAAGTCTAGGATGACTACTAAGTCCATTGCATGGTCTTGGGGGATGTGAAGACCATTCACTATAATAGGAAATGGGCAGACAGAGCTGTGCAGTAAGGACTTGGCTATACAGAGCATCTGGACATCAGAGGAGGGGCTTAGACGAGGAGACCTAGGAATTGTCAGCTTTGGAGGCTGGGAGACCAACCAGGAGGAAGAGAGAAGACAAGAGTGTCAAGAATAGAAACTAAGATGCAGATTTTGAAGTGGCAGGCAGATGAAGACGACTCAGGGCAGGCTCCTGGGAAAGAGTATTAAGAGAAGCAGGAGAAGAACAGAAGAGCTCTGACGTCGGGAGCCAAGGAAGGAGGAGCCTGAAGAACATGGGGAGGGTTCCTAAGAAGTGCTCATTGTTGTTGCGTTAGGTGCTGTGGAGTCGGCTCTGCCTCATGGTGACCCTGTGTACAACAGAACAAAACACTGCCCGGTCCTGTGCCAGCCTCCCAATCCCTGCTGAACCTGGGCTCACGAGAAGTGCTCATTAGCTTTGGCTGTTGGAGAGTCATTGGAGACCTCAGTCTGCGTCGTCTCATGCTGTGGTGGAGGCAGAAGATTTACTGAAGTGAATGAAGTGAACAGTTAGCAATGAGGAAGGGGCACTGAGGGATGGAAAAGGAAAACAGTAACTGTGGAAAAGCTAGGTTATGAAGGGAAACTAGCAATAGCTAAAGGAATGTGCAGAATGGAAGAGAAAGTTTTTAGGCTAGAAGAGACTCAAATGCTTGCGAGCCTGGAGAAGACGCCAGAGGAGAGTGCCTGGTTGCAAACTCAGGCAAAAGAGATCAGAACTGATGCTCAGCCAAGACCCTGAGGAAACAGAAGGGAACAGGCCCCTGAGGGTGGAGAAGGGGCGGCGTTCCTCAGACCTGAGTGAGAGGCCAGAGGGCAGGTGCAGGAAGTAGAGAAGAGTAGGCTCCCCTAGTTTCTGTTTTGCCCCTCTGACAGGGACACCTCAGGGTGTCCACACTGAGTGAGCATGGGACAGCCTGAGGAGCGTGAGGAAGAATCTGGACTAGGCAAGGAGGGCAATTAAGAAGGCCTCTTTCATAGCACTGGGGCCCAGCTGGAAGTTGACCTTAAGTGGCCCCAGGATG